GCACAACTTGAAGCCGTTACCCCTTGTCCTATCATCTGTAACTTGGAAGAAGAGACCGACCCCTGTCTCTCTACACCCTCCTTTCAGGTACTTGTACAGAGCAATAAGGTCTCCCCTCAGTCTCCTCTTCCCCAGGCTGAATAACCCCAGTTCCCTCAGCCTCTCCTCGTAAGACTTGTGCTCCAGACCCCTCACCAGCTTCGTTGCCCTTCTCTGGACCCGCTCCAGCACCTCAATGTCCCTCTTGTGGTGGGGGGCCCAAAACTGGACACAGTACTCGAGGTGGGGTCTCACCAGTGCCCAGTACAGGGGGACGATCACCTCTCGGGCTCTACTTGCCACGCTGCTCCCGTCCACTTGCTGCTGGGAGGAGATTGTCCATCCACACCAGCTGGGTGGCTTGAGATCCCGGTCATGTCCTGACTCTGGACCACACGGGACACAGAGCCACAGCATCAACGCGATGAGCGTGGGGTTGGGTTGGGTCAGCCTGGGTGCGTGGGGGTGGGAGGCTGGAGCCAGAGGAAGGGTCCGAGATGGGACAGGCTGTCTGCTGGCGTGGCCTCGGCCGCCTGCCAGGGAAGGTGTGGATGCGGCTCGTCTGGCTGGTGTGGAGACGCCTGACTCTGCATCTGCCAGGGAGGCTTCCAGAGGATCCCGCCCGCCCAGGTTTCCATGGAGAGCATCTCCTTGTTGAGGAGGGAGCCGTCTGGCAGACAGTACGGCCCTGGAAATACCGATAGAGCATTTGTTTTCCAAAGCACATGAATAACATCCCTAACAGCGAGCAGCCTCGCTTCCTCCGCCCGCCCCACCGGCGGCCTGGCAGAGCGGCCTGGGATGCCTGCCGTGCCTTTATCCTCCCGGCCCCTCGCTGCGCGCTCGTCTGAGCATCCCCAGTTTGGCCCTCTCTGCCCAGCCCGGCCCCGTTTCCCTTCCCCTTGGCTGGCACGGCTCCTCCTGGCGCGGGGCTACTGGGAGGCAGCAGCCGGGGTGGGGGGAAAGGGGGGACGGGTTTGGCTTCGCTGCCGGAGGGAAGAACGGCAGCGCCGTAGGCGGCAAAACCGGGGACGTTTTGGTGCCACCTCCCATGAGCTGCGAGGGGAATCGCTTCCCCGAACAAAATGTCCTTTCTCGGCTCTCCCCGTTGTTTCGCGTGCTTTGAAAGACCAAGGGGAAGCTTTGGGAGCTGTTGAGGCAGCGGGCAGCCGTGCGAGGCACTTGCAACAGCCCCCTGTGAAGGGGGGCTGAGCTCGGGCTCTCATGGCAGTCTGTCAATATTAAATTAAGGCTAAATTCCCATCCTAAATGTTATGTTAACACGAAGTTACGGCGGAAAGCACAGAGCCCAGAACAGCAATATGAGGGCATGAGATGTGCTACGGGGGTATTGTAATCATCCCAAATGAGGCATTTGAAACCCAGGGAATTCCAGATTTAGGGTTTGCATCATTTTTTTGGGATTGTAATTGAAAAACAATCCAAACATAGGAAGGCTTAGGAGCATGTCGCTGAGATCGTTTGAGTGCCTTTATGCTGTGCTGCAGGGACATGGGCAGATGGAGGGGAAAAAGTCTTTAAAAAATGATAGAACCAAATGTGGAATGGCAAATGTTAAAATACCGTGATCTGGATTTGAGCGTTGAGGCATCGTGGCTCCCCAGGGTAACCTCAGGGCTGCTGGGGCTTGACTGTGCGTCTCCGTATCTGGACATACTTGGCTATTGCTAACGCAACTCACCTCTGTGCCCGATGCTTCGTAAAACTCATAATTAGAGATGGTTGCAAGTCCTGTAGCATCATTTAATTTAAGTTAAGGATATGTAGCTGGAACTTGAATTCTATCTTAGCTTATGTTTTTTTGTCTTCAGATTTCCATGGTTTTTAAAAGCTATTAAAAGAACCACGGATGAGGATTAAACAAAAACCCAAAGGAATATCGTCGTAACATAATTCTGAGGAGCTGTAGCAAGGAGCTGATTTTTGGCTGTGTTTTGTAAAACGAGATTCCTCGTTGTGCCAGGACAGGGTGGTGGGTGTGCAGCCGCTCCGAGGAAGCGAAGTGGGTGGTGAATTCAGCCCTAATCTTGCGGTTATTGGTGTGTGCAGCCCAGCTGGGCAGCTGCGGGCTGCGGCGCGGCGCTGCCTGGTGCCACGAAATGGCTTGGCTGGCGGAGTTGGTGGCACAGCAATGCCCACGGCAGCGTGTGGCTGCAGCCCCCAGGCAGCTCTCGAGTCGGGGAATCATCTGGTGAGCCACTGCTGGCAGGGCTGTGGTGCACAGAGGGAGAAACGAGGACGGGTCGGTTGAAATGGCTCTGCGGGGAGTTGCGGGCACTATCATAAAGGCTGGAAGCTGCCTGTAGCTTCCAGTCATACAAATTAGAGATGCCAGTCATTAATAATTTGGCTTTATCCTAACCCGTGGCACCCAAAGGAAAGCGAGTGGAAGATTTGCACTGGGTTGTTGGCTTTCCAGCAACGTCAGGCAGAGCAGTGGGTCTGAAGCACCTTTGAGATCCCACTTGGGATTGCAGCTTCGGGCTGGTTTGGCCCGTCACCGTGCCCTGGGACGTCGCTGCTAAGCAAAGGTCAGGTCTCTGCTGAAGGAGGAGCGTGGCTGCAAGGAATATGAGATAAATGATGGTTTCCTTCCAGAGCTGAAGGCAGAGCGGGGCAGCTGAGGCACTGTGCTGCAGAGACAGCTCCAGCAGCGGTGGGGCAGAGCAGATCTCGGGGGTCTCTGGGTGCCTCGGCTCCATTTCTGCCCCTCGACACACCTTCTGCTTCCTTAGACTTTGGCAGCGCCGTGCTCCCGCCGCCGTGTTCCTGCCACTGCCTGGAGGGGCAGAGGAGGCAGAGGGATGCACAGAGGGGACGGGGGTCTGGGGTGGAGAAGGACAAGCCCTGGTTGTGCTAACACAGCCCTTGGGGCTTCCCCGTGCCAGGGGCAGTAGGTGTGAGTGCCTCTGCCCAGCATTCCTACCACCCTGCTTCCCTGGCATTGCCCGTGGTCCCCCTGCGGGCTCAGGAACTGTGCCTGCCTGCCCAGCCCTGCAGGGCCTCGCTGCTGAGGTGGGCTGGATGCAGTAAAGCAATTTTCTGGGCTGGGTGTTTCTTATTCTGCCTGTCATACCCTGATTTCTGAGCGCGCTGCGTTCCCTGGGCATATCAGGAGGGCAGGCACAGCACAGGCCCATTTCCTTAATGACCAGCAGTGAATTGCCTGCACATGTGCAGTGCAGATTTGAGACGCCCTCTGTGCTGTGGTTTCTTTTTTTTTTTTTTTTTTTTTTTTTTTTTTGGGCGGATTTTCCTCGTTGGACGAGGTGTTCTCCATTCGTGGAGTCCCTGCCCAGCTGAGCCTCCAACAGAGCCGCATCCTCCCATCTGCATACAGCCCTTATTTTGTGCTCCAATAATTCCGAGGCAACTCTGTTCCCCTCTGAGCTTGGGAGGGATTTACCAGGTGGGCATGTGAGGATGCTCTGGGGCAAAATGGAGGTGCCTCGCCCCCGCTGCCATCTCTCCCAGGGTAAGGAAGGGCACGTGGCTGAGACAGGAGCATCCTCTGACCCGTCACCACGCAGTGCCTTTCGGCGGGGGGGGACCGGGCTGCAAAGCCACTGGCCGAGGTGGGGAGCTGGGCTCCGGTGAGGGCGAGCACCGGGTGAGCTCAGCCCCCACGGCTCCCCTCGCCCCACTCCCCCAGGAGCAGCGGTGCTGGCGGGGATGTGTGTGTGTGTTGGGGGGGGTTGGAAAGGGAGTGGGGGGGGCTCTCCACTTACATAAGCCCTGACTGCGGCAGGCGGTTGCGGGGAGGTGAAGGGCAGAGGCGCTGAAAATCCACACAGCCTCCAGCAAGGGCTCCTTGGCGCAGGAGCTCTGCTGCCTGACACACATCCCCAGGTCCCCAGCTGCAGTCCCTGCCCGCCCGCAGCCCCCTCCCTTCCCCACGGACCCCACGGGGGGCTGCCACGTCTGCTCCATCCCCTCCACTCCCCTCCACGCCGACAGCCCAGCGTGGGGAGGTGGCAGCAGAGCTCTGACACGGGGGGGACTGCGGGGCTGGCGCCGGGGGGGACACTCTGGCTGGTCCCATCCTGCCCACCCAGCACTGAGGGGTTGTGCCTGGGGTCTCGCCGCTTTGGCCAGCGGGACATGGAGGGGGCAAGCTGGTTCGGGGAGCCCGTGGGGCGGGCAAGGGGGGTGTCTGGGTAGGACACACGTGTCTCATTTGCTGGGTGATGGCACTGGGAGAGGGGAGCCGTGCTGGGATGGAGTCAAGGTAGAGGTGCACGGGGTGGGAGTGTGGGTGTCTCCAGCGCAGGCAGGAGGGGAGAGGTGCCAGTGGGCTCTTGTGCAGGGGCCAACGGTGGTGCCCAACAGGTTCTTTGTGGGGAGGGACGGTGCCAGGGAAGTGGTATATCTTGGCACCAATAATCTACTGCTGATACCTTCCTGCAGCATCTGGCAGGGCAGCTGTGGGGCTCACCCATAGGGCAGGGCAGGGGCCGGGATGGCCCCCGAGCTCTGGGGACAGGCTCTGCAGGCGGGGACAGACACAGACTGTGGGTCTGCACGGGCTCTACCTGTGCTGCCCGCGCTTGCCTGCTCCCAGAGCCAACGAGCAGTCACGGGTGGGAAGGTCCAGCCAGGGATCCTGGCTCCTAAAGCGCTGGAGCACTTTTCCTCTTCCCAGAGCAAGTCTGCTGTTAATTCCCTCCATCTCTCCACAGTACCAGCAGTCCCCTCCGGGCCGGGCCGTTGGCAGGCAGGCAGCAGCGGGCGGCTGGCAGGCTGTGAGGAGCAGTGGCACATCTCCCTGCATCCCTGCTCCCGACTCACCCAGCAGAAGGTGTGGCTGGGCTACGCTCTCCTGAATTCCAGCTCTCCTGCTCCATCCGTTCCCGCTGGGCAAACCGGAGGCTTGGCGTGATGGGGATGCCCTGAGCCCTCACCCAGGAGCTTCAGGCCTGGATGTTGGTGCTGCTCCTCCCGGACGATGTGGCTGATACTCTGGAGAAGCCCTCTCTTGCCCCCCGTTCTCCAAGTGCCTGAGCTGGTGGCCAGCTGGGACCTGCGTCTCGCCCTCTGGGTCCTGAGCTTGGCCTCAGCGGTTGTGCGGATGGAGGGCCAGGTCTACTCGCCGACCGTCAACACGCACTATGGGAAGTTACGGGGGGTGCGAGTGCCGCTGCCCAGCGAGATCCTGGGGCCCGTGGACCAGTACCTGGGGGTGCCTTACGCCGCCCCCCCCATCGGGGAGAAGAGGTTCATGCCCCCCGAGCCGCCGCCGTCTTGGTCGGGCATCAGGAACGCTACCCACTTCTCGCCGGTCTGCCCCCAGAACATCCACAACGCTGTTCCCGAGATCATGCTGCCCATCTGGTTTACCTCCAATTTGGATATCGTGGCCACGTACATCCAGGACCCCAATGAGGACTGTCTGTACCTCAACATCTACATCCCCACGGAGGATGGTGAGTCCTCGCTGGGGTGCCCGCAGGAGGACGGGGGGGGGGGGGGGGCCCCCCCCCCCCGCGCCCCTCGCCGCAGACAAAGAGGGGTCCGGGCGGGGGGGGGGGGTGTTCCCCCCCCTCCCCAGCAGTGGTTGGTCTCACCTGGGTGTTGTGTTTGAAGCATGTGGTTGTGGACCCTGCAGCATGCTGTCTGTTTGTGGAAAGCTTTCTCTGGCCACGCAGCTCGCCCTCTTGCCCTCAGCTGCCATCTCTGTCTCGCGTGCTCCTGCTCCTCCACGCCTCCCAGTCCCCCCCTCCCTCCACCTCCATGGCATCGTCACGGGTTCCTCTCTTGTGTTGCTAAATCTGAATCCGACTCTCTGACCGCAGATCCACAGAGCGACAAGCTGGTTTGTGCTCCCCAGGTGCCGAGTGCCAGGTTCTGTCTTGAGTTGGTTCGGGTTCGTCCTTCCTCCCCCCTTCCCACCCTCCCCAGGTCCATGCGCTAGTTGTGGGAGTGGGCTGCGGCTGGGAGGAACACTCTCTGCCTCTCCCTGGGGAGATGCTCCAGCAAGGAAGGGACTGCGGAGCCCTTTTCTGGGCCCTGGTAGGGACGGGAGGTTGGGGACACTGACAGGCGCATCGCTCGGCTGCTCCCGGACGGTGGCAGAGCGATGAGCCCCGGGGTGCCGGGTACCCGTGGGGCACAGTCCTGTTGGGGTGAGGCTGAGCGGCGCTGGGTGCCTCCTCGTCTAACCTTTTCCTTTGTAGGGGATCCCACCTGAACTGTAAGTAGAGGGCAGAGGAGGCAGCGCCCACCCGTGCGCCCCCCCCAGCCTCACCGCAACGGGAGCCCCCGGGGATTTTCAGCGGGCTGGAAGGGGGCTGCTGCGCACGGCGGAGCAGCCTCGAGGGCTGGTGGCTTCTCCCAAGCTGGCTGGCTCCACTCCTCTCTCCCTGGGGTCCTTGGCCACGGGATGCATCGTGCCTTCCTTCCCGCCCAGCACGGCTGGCCCAGAGTTTTCCTCCCACGGCGGCGCTCCCTCCCCACCTCCCACGGTCCCGGGGCGGCGGGAGGGTGGCAGCGTGGTTGTGATTGCATGCCCACTCCCGCCAGTGGAGCCTCCTGTTATTTTGTAGTCTTTTATTCATTTTACAGTAAAACGGATTTCCAAGGAATGCACCCGAAAGCCCAACAAGAAAATATGTAGGAAAGGAGGTATGTAGCAAGCCGACCGGCAGAGAGGCACAGAGAGGAAAGAGAGAGAGAGTGAGAGAATGAGAGGGTGCTTGGCCAGCCCCCGGCCCGCAGCATGCTCCTCCGGCACCTCTCTGTGCTGCCACCCAGACCGCGGGCACTCCAAGCAGCCCACCCTGCTGTCCCCCACTTCGCGCTCGGAGGAGCCCCGTGGATGCTCCAGTCACCTCCGCTTCCCGGCCGGGGAGCTGGAACTGGTGCTGGCTGGGAGTGCGGGGCCGGGGTCAGGTCAGAGGAGGATGCTCACCTTGCTCCAGGCCTTTCAGAACAGCTTCTCCCAGGCTGAGCCCACGCTCCCGCCTTCATCCCGCTGACACTGGCAGCCTCCCAACCCCTGGGGCATGGGGGGAGCCTCTAAGGGTGGGTAGCACCCTTAAATGGGTAGCACCCTTAAATGCACCCATCCCTTAGGGGTGTACAGGCACGCTCAGGAAAGCACCCGTGTGATGGGAGACTGCAGCCTGGCCTGGCCTGAGCTCTTCCCCCGTTGCATCCCTGGTCATTTTGCATCCAAAGCTCCTCGGTTAAAAGCATAAAACCTCTCCTGGCTGTATAAAGGCTGCCGTATTCTGCCCCAGCCTGTGGTCCCGCCACGGCTGCTCCCTGCTGCTCTGCCAGCCCTGCCAGTGGGGGTCTGCTCTCCACCCCCAGCACCGCATCCTGCCCGAGCCCCCGCCGCCCGCGCTGCCCGAGCGCCTCTGGTTCAGACACATCTCCGCTTTGCCTTGCCTCCATCCCCAGGGGCTCACACCCTCCCTCCACTTTGGGGCGAGGGGGCCAGCTCTCCCCAGAGTGATCCCGTGTTCCCAGGCAGACGCAGTGCTGCGGGCAGGGAATGGAGACATGCAAACGGGAGCTGGCTCAGCCCCTCCTTGGACGTGATGCTTCACCCATCCCACCGCATGCCCCCCTTGCAGGCAGGGCCAGCCCGGGCTGCTCTCTGCATCCCAAAGTGGGATGTGGCGGACGGTCGGGCAGCAAAGCTCTTCTGAAAGGCTCAGTGCAGGGAGAGGGTGTCTGGTGGGCAGGGGCTGCCACCCCAGGCATCCCGTGGCAGTGGGGTCCCTGCATCCCGGCCTCCGCCTCCCTGCGCTCCCTGGGGTTGGCGGGGCCGACACAGCTGGGCTTGGAGGTTTGGGGAGCGCTTCCCTTCCAGCCGTTTACCCCCCCAGTTCTGTTGTTGGGTTTCTTTGCTGTGCTTTTCCTGTTGCTGTCCTGGCTATTCACACGCCATCTCTCTGAGTGCCAAGGCTGCCCCTGAAAGGGCTGGCGCATTAGGGAGTCTCCGCACGCTGCCTCCGGAGCCGGCTGTGCCAGCGATCACCAGCCACTTCAAAGCGCTTCCTCTCCCGGCCCTCCCACCGGCTGCCGGGGCTGGTGGAGCCCTGCCACCCCGAGCCCTGGTGGCCGGGGCCAGGCGAGGAGGGTCTGGGTTACAGCTGGAGAAGGGGGACAACGTAAGGCACGGCAAAACACCTTGGGTGGTGCCCGTCTCCCGGTTTGCCCCCCTGCCGGCTCTGCTGACGGGCAGGGTTTCTTTGCAGCCCCTCTGCCGTTGCCTCTGGTCGCTTCCCCAGGAGCCGGGGAAGACGTGTCCTCTGCCCCCGCCGGGCTGTGCTGACTCACGGACCAGCAGATCCCCAGTGCCGGCCATTTGGGCATCCAGGCATGACGTGCCAGGAATTAAAGCGCCGAGACACTGGCGCTGCCCTTCGGCTCCGGCCACGGCTCTGGTGGCCCTTGGCTGGAATAAATTGAGTCACTTGTGGTGAGACACGGAGGCTCATCCCACCCCTCATGGCGTATCCCGGGTTGGTAATTCTTGGGGTGAGGATAATGTACCTGCGGTGCTGATTTCCTTGGGCTGCGTGTCATTTGGACATTGACTCCTTCTGAAATATTCTCCATTATTATTTCTAAGGCCACATCTGAGCGGTGAATAGGCTCTCCTTTGGCAGAGCAAGCAACCGTGCAGTATTTTGGTGGTTTAAAATGCCTCGGCTCCCACCTTATTAGAGTTTTCATTATTTCTGCCACCCCTAAGCTCAGAGTATTTCATAGCAACCAAAGGACTGAGAATTCATCAAGAGTTTATGTCTGGGACACAAAAACGTCCCTGTTTCCCTGCCCTATATATTTTCCTACATGGAAATTCCCTACGTGCTCCGTGTACCTTAGTCCCTTCTCTGGGAGCAAGGCAGGGCAGCAGTGATTGGAGTCTAATTAGCCACGCGCGGTGCTGGGGGAGGCTCAGGTGTTGCTGTGCAGGTGATGCTGCCCCTCTGAAGAGCACGTACACGCACACACGGTGCAGCACCTACGTGTGGCAACACAGCCCTGCCTTCCCCCTCACCTCACCTCGCTGGAAGACACGAGGAGGTGGATGTAGTTTTGGGAGAGGAAAAAGTGTGCCTGCCCTGCACATAGCAGCCTGCCCCGGTTTTGATTCCTGACTGCCCCAATGTCTCTGGCTGGGGCTGTGCAGGACAGAGAGGGACAGTGCTGGGGGGACAGACGTGCCGGTGGGGTGTCTTGCTGTGCCGTGGGAGCGTGGCTGGAGCTCCCAGCACCTCCTGGGCTGGGGATGCGCTTCGGCTGCTCTGCAGGAAAAGCCTTGTGGCTTCTCCGCTGCTCTCCAAGAAGCAAACTTGTCCGGGTACTGGCTGGGGCTTCCTTGTGGCTGTGCAACTTCTGGAGTGCTCCCTTGCTGGAAGGCTTCTCAGCAGCCTCCTGTTGAAGCCTGCTGCTTTGCGGAGCGCTGGGAGGAGACCACTGCCCTGATGCTCCAATTCTGCTCAGGGCAGGGAGATTTGCAAAAGCGAGGGTAGGTGTTTGTGCTGGCAGAGGCAGCAGAGCGTGAGAAGATGCAGTGCTTTCATAGATTCTGCTCAAGGATGGAGATAACTCCTCTGCATCACCCAGGGCAGCATCAAGGCGCACTGCAGTCCTGGAGCAAGGGTCGATGGAGAGGCCACCGACACGGGTCCCTTGGGTTGTGCAGCAGCAGGTTCGAGGGCTGTCATCAGTCCTGGTCCTGTCTCTTGTTGCTCCCAGAGAAGCACCTGAGCTGGTGTGGCCACTAGCACATGTGCCTCTGGGTGTTGGTGGCCATCAGACATGGTGGCAACGCTGCTTTGGGCTCCTGCTCCCTGTGGCATGGTGGCTGCTGTGTGGCAGCGGGTGCCCCAGGGAGCTTGCACCGAGGAGGGGGTTTTGGGACTGCCCGCTGGCCACTCTGAGCAGATGTTTGGATTGGAAGGGTGTCAGCTCAGGCTCCTGCTCTTCTCTTATCCACACCATGCTGAGCGCAAAGGCTCCGAGGACCGAGGCTCCTCGCCCTACTTTATCTCTGTTTGCGCTGGTGTCAGTGCTGCTGGCATGGTTTACTTAAGATAGCATAAATCTGGCATGGATGCCCCGATTTCAGGGAAAGTGATTTTATTTTTTACTGAACTTAAGCTTAAATCTTCCTAGAGCCTTCAGATAAGAGCGTATGCATCCTTCCTATCGGCCTGAACAATGTCACTTCGCAGTCAGCTTAAAGTGAAGCAGCACAACAGGCATTCACGTGGGGTTCGTGGGGGGAGTTTCTCATAGAATTTTCATGGAATTGCTTAGGTTGAAAAAGACCTTTAAGATCATCGAGTCCAACTGTTAACCTAGTACTACCATGTCCACAACTAACCCATGTCCCTCAGCACCACGTCTGCCCGGCTTTCAAATCCCTCCAGGGATGGTGACTCCACCACTGCCCTTCGCAGCCTCTTCCAATGATTCACAAGCCTTTCCGTGAAGAAATTTTCCCCAATATCCATCCTAAACCTCCCCTGGGGCAACTTGAGGCCATTTCCTCTTGTCCCATGGCCTGTTCCTTGGGAGAAGAGACCGACCCCCCCTGGCTACACCCTCCTTTCAGGGAGTTGGAGAGAGCCAGAAGGTCTCCCCTCAGCCTCCTTTTCTCTAGGCTGAACACCCCCAGCTCCCTCAGCCTCTCCTCACCAGACTTGTGCCCCAGACTCCTCACCATCTTTGTCGCCCTTCTCTGGACCCGCTCCAGCACCTCAACGTATTTTTTGTCGTGAGGGGCCGAAAACTGGACCCAGCCCTCGAGGTGGGGCCTCACCAGTGCCCAGTCCAGAGGCACCATCACCTCCCGAGTCCTACTCCCCACGCTGTTCCTGACACAGGCCAGGATGCTGTTGGCCTTCTTGGCCACCTGGGCACACTGCTGGCTCCTGTTCAGCCAACAGTCCACCAACACCCCCAGGTCCTTTTCTGCCAGGCAGCTCCAGCCACTCTGCCCCCAGCCTGGAGCGCTGCAGGGGGTTGGTGTGACCCAAGTGCAGGACCCGGCCCTTGGCCTTGTTGAACCTCACACCACTGGCTTCAGCGCATCGATCCAGCCTGTCCAGATCGCTCTGAAGAGCCATCCTACCCTCCCACCCAACACTCCCACCCAACTTGGTGTCCTCTGCAAACTTACTGAGGGTGCACTCTATCCTCTCATCCAGATCTTTGATCAAGATGCTGTACCGAGCCCTGGGGAACACCACTTGTGACCAGCCACCGACTAGATTTAACTCCATTCAACACCACTCTTCAGGACTGGACTGCCATCCAGGCAGTTTTTTTTACCCAGTGAAAACTATATCCATCCAAGCCATGGGCAGCCAGTTTCTCCAGGAGAATGCTGTGGGAAATGGTGTCAAAGGCCTTACTAAAGTCCAGGTAGACAACATCCACAGCCTTTCCCTCATCAACTAAGCAGCTCACCTTGTCATAGAAGGACATCACGTTAGTCAAGCAGGACCTGCCTTTCGTGTACCCATGCTGACTGGGCCTGATCGCCTGGTTGTCCTATATGTGCCACATGATGCCACTCAAGATGATCTGCTCCATAACCTTCCCTGGCACCAAGGTCAGACTGACAGGCCTGTAGTTCCCCAGATCCTCCTTCCAGC